AGGGAGGGCTTCTTGAGGAGGGGCCTCACCACCGCCTCCTTTAGGACCGCGGGGAAGGCACCCTCCCGTAAAGAAGCGTTTGTAATTCCCTGGAGCCAGGCTCGTGTACCCTCCCGAGCCGCCAGTACCAACCAGGAGGGACACGGATCCAATAAACATGTGGTTGCATTCAGTCTCCCCAGGATCCTGTCCACGTCCTGTCCACCTTCAAGTCCCCAGCCAGGGACTTGAAGCCCATCCATCTTAAAGTTGCTCAGGTTGAGAAATACTGCACTAAACACTGTGTAAGAAATACAGTAGCTGTAATACTGCAGGAGCGTAAGATAAATGTATAAGGTTTCTACTGATGAGAGAAAAGGACTTTAATACTTGCATTGCTTTAAATCAGGGGTAGTCAACCTTGGCTCTTTTATGACTCGTGGACTTCAACTCCCAGAATTCCTGAGCCAGCACAGCTGGCTCAGGAATTCTGGGAATTGAAGTCCACGAGTAATAAAAGAGCCAAGGTTGACTACCCCTGCTTTAAATCCTCCTCAATATTGAAAGAAACAGAATTCTGACACCACATGGATAGATTCTAGTATCTAGTAGTTTAGAATTGATAGCTTACTACTCCAGGCCAAAATGAGATTATTCCAGTCTAAGCAACCACTTATACAGAATGCTAAACAGCAGGAGCCCAGAATATTTTAACACTGATTCTAAATTAACCTTTTATGACAGTTAGAGTCTAATAATGTAGCATTTCTCATTTTGACAACTTTTAATGGGAGTGAATAACAACTGATTCATTAAACTTTCCAAATTGGGCAATCTTTTAGAATCCCAAGACTAGATTACTCATTCAGCCATGTATTGTATAGAATTAAATTATCAACAATTATCTGTTATTAAATGAACAATACGTTGGGACTAATTGAGAATCCAGATGGCATGTGGGAAATTGGGTCCTATCACACACTTAGAAAACTGTCTTTAAATGCTGGGTATTCCTTCAGTTCTCATAATGCCATCTGCAAACCTCTGCTGGCACTTTTACTTAGCCAAGGTTTACAAGAAATAACCTCAGTGAATGAGAACTTAAATGCTGGCATATGAGGCAGGCATGGAAATGTGCCCTTGTATCTCTATCTGCCACATACTCCTCCTTCCAGCTTAGAAGAATAGAGGAAGCAATTGCCCTGTATGAAGGTTCACTCCTTCTGCAGCAGGTCTGGTGAGTTCCACAGTCAACCAGGGTGGATGGGGGGAAATCACACTGCCCTCCTGGCGCCACTTATAAGTCTAGGTAGTATGAATGACAGGAAAATGACACAGCAATACTGGAGGGGGGGGGAATTCGGCAGAGGGTGAGGATTATTGGAGGGATTATTGGAGGGATTCTAATCTACTCCACACAGCTCTGGGTGGAGACCAATGTCCCTTCTTGCTGCACAGTACTCTGGGCTGAAGAACCTGGAGCATCTTTCTTTAGACAGGAGGATTTGGAGAACAGGTTACTTCCAATTCTCCTGCACAAGCAACGTGCCACTTCCTTTGTGTTAAGAAAGGAGGTGATGAAATCCAAAGTTGCTTTGGACATCAAGGTGGGAGGCAAAAAATTAATTAGCTAATTAATATTCCCCACCTCCTTCTGTATAGAAAGAAATACTCTTTGCAAAGGAGGCTTGGAATGGTTTTAGAAATTAATAATATATAGAAGAACGTATGTGCATATGGTGTCTATGGATTTACATATATTACATATAGGCTTCTGGAAAAGTATCTATAGCAGGATAAAGCCTACACAGAATGTGTGAACAAAATCAAAGGAAGACTTGTTCTATGCCTTGCAACTGCTCTCTCACATTCGTTAGGCAAGATCAGTAAATTGCATACCTGTGAGGACAGGTCACTCCACTGGGCATCATTTTCGTCATGGAGAGTGACATGTTTCACACCGGCAAGAATCACATTCTTGGCAATCTCGACCCCCAGCCCCGTCATTCCAGAAACCAGCACCGTTGCTGTAGCTATCTTCTGCATGGCCTCATCCCCCAGCAGATAGCTAGAACAAAAACATCACAATGATGCAAATGCCAAGCCTGAACAGCGAACTCCGTCTGCCCTTGCTCAACTGCACTTTTACCCTTATTTTGATTTTCTTTGCCAATTGCCACTTCCTGTTTTTTTCCCATCTGTCATTATGCAATTTGTGCATGGAATGACCTCAGGAGACGGACAAATTGGACAAGCGGCATGTAAAAGGTATCTTAGCTCGAAGGGTTTCACACAGGGCAGGCGTGGGAAATGTTTTAGAAAGTTTTCCATAAAAAGAAAGGAGGGGAGAAACACTTTCAATCTTGCAAAATTCTGTTAATGTAACCTTACAATAAAGATAAGAGTTGGTTTTCCTGGTTGTACTTCTTGTATGGACTACTTTGCAGTGTTAACAGTTGTCTTAATCCCTAGATTCTTCTGCAAAGTAATTTCCACAAGATGCTCACTCGGTTATCTAACTACTCTCAGTCATTAGTGGGTCTCTGTTACACCGGCTCTCAAGCAAAAGCCCTTTGTGGTTTCTTAGCATTCCTCCCACTTTTGTATCCCATGTTATCAGACTCACAGTTGGCGGGAATACAATTCCTCGTCGATATCTGGAAGGTCCTCTGTGGCACTCATTCTGATCCTGCTGCTTCTGTACTGTCAGGAGCAAAAAAAAAAAAAAAAAAAAA